ATATATATATATATATATATATATATATATATTAGATAATGTATACGTTAAATTCAAATTTAGAGAGGTGAATGCGAATGTGATATATAGATAGATATATGATGTGGGAGAATATTTCATGTCAGTAGATGTCCATGCTATTTCAAAACTTAGATGGTTAAGCAAGTGTTCTTACTCTATCATGTGAAGTAAGGGTAAATCTCCTTAATTTATATCCATTTCGAATCAGTCGATACTGGTTCAAATACGTGAAAAGGAGAACGTAAGTCGATGAAGTGTAGGACGAATATGGATTCAAATGGATGCCAATGAATTAAAAAAGAAAAACACAAGAAACAAATTTGATTCTATCAATCATTTTTCTTATATAGAAAAGATTAAAATAAATATTAAAAACATAACAAGCATGAGAATAATAATTGTTAAACATAACAATCAACTGGACAATAACTTTTGACCATTATAGAAACATTAATACACTTGGTTATCAGGTTTTGTTCAAGTAAACTTTAGAATGCTAGTCGAAGCGTTCGGCTTTAACTTTGTTTTACAAATTAGTTAGCAAGCTCAAAAACGTTTTAAGATTCGTAGGCAATTGTTGTACAGCATTTTCTTGCCATGGATTTGACATTGTCGGATTAATGAGATAAACCATACAATATATGTAATGAGATAACTCGTAAGATAGAACATTCTGAACATGAAGCCAGTTTTGACATGCAACCTAATCTGCAAGTGCTACGTTTTCGAACTTTCAAGTCATGCCACACTCCGGATCCGATCCGTTAAAGCCGACATGCCAAGGTGAGGCGCTGCATCCGCTAATAAGCACATCAGCTCGATCCAAAAGAGGAGTTGTCGAGACCTCTCAATTGAGCACCAACCGGTGGAGCATTTCTTCGAGCACGTGATCGGCGGGGTTTGTGTCCACGAAGATGTTGGAAAGCTTCTTCTCGGCCAGGCCAAGGCAAGGCGGGGCCCCCGAGGCCGTACCGCCCGTTACCCTCCTCTCCGGTCCTCCTTCCTGGTCTCCCTCTATTTCCTCACTTCCTCTCTACACCCTTTTCCTTCTTTAAGAACCTGACCCCATCTCTGGATTCTCGTTGCTCACATAAATATGCATTTCCTTTCATAAAAGGAATCAGTGGGAAGACGTCTCTTCTGTTTCAATTCGCTATCAACCGCGCATCGGAGACAAATGGCGATGTGGTTTTCATCTGTAACAAGAGGAGATTAGAGTACAAGCCACCCTTTCTTTCACAGGCATTCTCTCTCAGCCTGTCTTTCATTGTTTCCATTTGGATTCTGAAAACTAGGCCGTTTTGTATTCTGTTCATTATTTCTTTTCTTCTGATCTCTTGAGATTCACTTTCTTTCTTCTTTTTCAGGACATCGATCCAGCTGCTGAATTGCTTGAAAGGATACAAATGAAGTAAGATATTCTAATCCACAGATGCTTCCTCTTTTTATCGTGATTTCACATTTTGTATTCTTTTTGACTTAATAGAATGGGCATCTTAATCTAATGATATATAGGTATATATACGTGCATGTAGCTACTGGAAAAAGTTATAAAATCTAGTCGAGCTTGTGCTGTGGTTGACCAACTTTGGGCAGTATGGATTCTTTTAGTTACTCACCTATTTCTATATGTAAATGTAACAAGATAATTGTAAACGTAAAATTTTTGTTTTGTGTTTTTTGGATTAGAACTTAATTATTCATTTGGAGGAATTATCTTACACATGAATGGGAAAATTGGTTAATGCACTGTGAGCTCAAAATTGGCTCGTCCTGGAATTTGGCACCAGAAGATATGCCACATCTATGGTAAATTGACTAACCTAGATGAGCAAGGCAATGTTGATTGTAGAACAAAGTTTGTTGGTCGACATTAAATGTTTGTATTGCATCTACAACGACTTTTTTAATTTGGAGGAGCATATGGTTGTGATATGACCAAATTATGAGATATGAATCTCATGTCTTGTTACAGTACTCAGGTATCTGGTTAACTTTCACCTGAAGTTTATGAATACTGGAAAGTTGGTTACTGTGAATTTTACTTTAGATATTAATTTAGACATGTACTTGCGAACACAATCTTGATCTTGTTAACTTTGGCAACATAAAAAGGGGGAAGAAAAAAGAAAAAAAGATAGAGCATTCTTGACTTCTTCCATGGTGTTGTAAATAAGACAAAATTCTTCAATGACACAATTTGAACAGCATTAATTTGGAAGGATACATGGGAATTTCACTTTAATAGAAATGAATTATAGAGCCGAACAGCTGATAAAAATTTTTTAAGACAAATTATAATGAAAAGGATGTAGTAAGATTTGGATCAGGAAGGTTTCATATTTCTTGAACCATATTTCCATCTCCACTGTAAATGCAATGGTTTTGCAATCAAAATAAGCTGACATGTGAAGAAGATTCTAGTATAGATAACTATCCAACTGAAGATTCACTAAGAAGATACAATGGAGTTATGGAGACATATACAAGAATAATAATTAAAAAAACTATGACACCTATGCTTTAATGCTGAGAGAATGTGACATATTGGAATTTGAGCAAATAAGAGGCCTGGAACAGTAAAAAAGGTTTACCTGAATTCTCTTTAATTGTGTCGGAACATCACCTTGAGTCCACTCATATCTTTTTGGAACTTCATCATCACATTAATAGCTTCTCGCATCCAGTAGTGGAAAACTTAAACATCATTATTCATTGTTAAAAGTAGCCATCGGTTTCACCTGGCAAGGAATTTAATTTCACCCGGACCAGTGTTTACCAGTTCAAGTGTGAACCAAGATGTAGATGCCCCATTTCAGACGGTTTATTATTTTTTTAAATAGTACGTCTGTCTGTTTTAATAGAGAACTGGATTGATAGTTTTTGCCCTGTAATCCTTTCAATTCCTCAGAAGACATCTTCCCTCCACATCAAAGCCTGACCGTCGATGCCCACCTATTGCTGCCCATCCACCTATCACTCATAGCCCACCACACTCTATGCTCTAGTACCTCTCCTCTTCCTCCACCACCTCTTTTTCCTTCTCCTACTTCAATGCGTGCTCTCCTCCTCCTCCTCCTCCTCTTTCCTTCCTTCTTCCTTCTTTGACCTCCCCTTGAAGTTAAACGGTACCACGGTATACGACAGCATACTATGTGTCAGTATGTCGGCATGGGTCAGACCCACTCTAGTTCAGCCATTGACTAGTACATGTCCGGTTACCAAAATTTCGTTCCTTGTCACACAATTTTGTCAAAAATACTAGGCACTATAAGGCACCGAGGCTTCTTATTGTCTAAGGTGATAGGCGCTTAGCTACTTAGGTGCCTGCCCAAGCGAATCAAGGCACTTATTTTAATAAAATTATGAAAATATAACAGTATAGACTATAGATAGTAATTAAAATAAAAAACATCAATCAAAATACAAGTTTTATATCATAACATATGCAAGATGATTACCATCAAAGCACCAAATTACACAAGTTTAACTGTCTATATAGCATTCAATCAACAAAATGATAATTTAATTATTCATATCTAAATAACAAAACAAAAGAAATGAAACCATATATCAATCCAAGAGCTTTAATGATCATCAAGATCCACCAGATCATCATCGACATCATTTGTGATCTTGGCTCATCTACTTACATCCTTCAGTCTCTTCTATTTCGTCAAATCAACTTTCTCCTCTTTAGCATTTCTTGACAATATTGGTTTTACCTTACTTTGATTCTAAACCCTGAAAAATAACATCCCCAGCTGAAGTTTCTCTTGTTCGGGGAAGAGATGCGACCTCCCAATAGCAGGATAAAGGATAATTATTTTTTTTTGCTGAAAAGATAGAAAAAAACTATGGAAAGGATGCCAAGGAGACTTGCAAGGCCTTTATTTAATTTCTAATTATAGGCTATTATAAAGAAAAAAAATAGAGTATTCTTTCAATCTGTTGCTGTTCTTCATTGTTTCTTTGTGGTTGAATTGTGTTTGACCCTTTATTTTCGGCAGTTGCATATCACAGGAAAGTGGAGGAAGCATTAGCCTCTTTAGGAGGGTCCAAACATGAATTTTTAATCCGTTTGCTCTTCATGAAGGGTTACTAACCTTTCTTGATGTGGACTAAGAGATGTGACTTGTGATCCTCATAAAGATAGGAATCGTCGTACCCTTTTGCCATCTTCGACCCCAGTGGAACCTCATGACTCATCTGGACTGAGAAACAGGGAGGCCCATGTGGAGGCAGCTCTTGGTCTGGGACTGGCCCACTTACCTGCATTGTAACGAGACATTTGTAGGAGACATGCTTCAGATGGCATGGAAAACTTTTTCAAATTTGGCTTGTTAGTCAATAGAAAGAACCTACATTAACATAATCTTGAAAGGAAAGTAATGGATTAAGTTTAAACTTCCATCTGCTTGTAGGTACATTGAAGACTATGAGGGAATCACAAAGTATTTTGCAGCATTTCATTTGTACAAGAGCTTTCCTACTGCAATAATCATTGATGATTTTGGAGATCTGTTTATTGATAGGTAGTTTCTTTTTTTACTTGGTTTTGTTTCTGCATTCAATTGTGAAAGAAACTAATCGCTGTTGCTGTTATGCATAGTACGTATATGTTACTGGTTATCTTCTAATATATAAGTCAGATAACTTGTTCATGCAAAATCAGGTGGCTTTCTTCTTTGGATCAATGGGCCAATTCATGTGTATGCTTCTAGTTAAGACTTATTGAGCTATAACCTGTGACTAAATGGATTATATCATGAATACAAATAGTGATATATTTTTTTTTTTCACTTTGTATTGTTTCTGCATTAAATTGTGAAAGAAACCCACCAATGCTGCGGTCGAGTGTAGTACCAGTTACCTTCTAATATAAGTCAGATACCTTGTTCATGCAAAATCAGGTGGATTTCTTCTTTGGATCAACCGACCAATTCATGTGTATGCTTCTAATTAGGACTTATGAGATATGAACTGTGAATAAATGGATTATACCATGAATTTAAATAGTGCAACTAAATAAATAACGAGGGGTTTAAATAGACTTGCCTTCTATTTCACAGCTGCAATTTGTGATCACAATGAAGTTCCTGAAATGTTTATCCATTTTCTTCCCTTACCTATGTTATACAGTCATAGTTTAGTAAACAGATTTTCTTTATATAATTGTAATGCCTTGTTTCTGTGGATTTTCATTCATTGCTTATTATTTTTCTCCTTTTAATGCACCAACATGTAGTATGTTTATTGAATTTTCAGGAGTTGTCAACATAAATATGGCAATGCAAGGGGTAGAGATCTTGCCATGGCTCGAACTATGGCCTTATGCCAAGATGCTATAGCTTATGCGAAGTAAGAAATGCTTCAAGCACAAAATTTTATTTGATAATTCAGGCAAAGTTCTAGATTTCATTTGATGAGAAAACCTTTTAGCATTTTTATTTTCTGGTATTGTGCAAGTTCAAATATTTACAATAGCATCTTATTTTCTTTCTATCTAGCCAAAAACAGCAAGCCCAAAGATTGTGCAACCTTTTACTTGCTGATACACACCAAGGAGACAGCCCAAGATTGTTATTCATTTATAAGAGATGGGTTCAGTGCATCTTGACAATTCAGGGTATTTTTCTATGGAACATTGGTCATAATTGAAAAACTCTTTTGAATAAGAAATGTGGGTTTCTTATCGTGCTTAGATGAGATATATTATTCTTTTTTTTGTTACTGATTGTTTATTCTTAATAATGAGCAGTGCTGAAGAATCACTAATAATTAAACTGCATCATGTTGGTTTGTTTTATTCGGTGATATCTAAGGTTTTATCATGAATGCCAAGGTTAATGGTCTAGATGGTCCAGTTGGATGCCTAGGAAAAATTTCTGAAATATAATATTTAAATGCAATATTTTATTCAAGTAAATATATATAGTCCTACAAAACTATGTACGATAAAAGAATATGCAATTCAATTAAAGATTAGTCACTTTTTTGTACATGTTTTGAAAAGGAGCAACATGAAAATAAGTTTTTATAAATTTATTTTGGAAATAATTAAACAAGAGAATTACATATAACATGAATTCATACTTCTCACTGAGTGCAAAAGATGAGTGACTTAAATTGCAAAAGTTGATTGAATAGCGTAAACATCATAATAGTTTAGCAAGAACTAATAATGTGCTACAATTTGACCATGATTTGATGTAAGTGAATAGTTGAGGTGCGTGTACGCGGGACGCATATGATGTATGAACTTCATATAAATGGTTTAATGTTTATTAAAGGTGTAATATATGATATGTGATCTTTTGTGGAGAAAGCAGTCACTTACCTAATTAAGCATTAGTTTCCTGCAGAAGTGGCCGGTTGATTGCAACATAAGCGATCAGGTAACTGTTTTGCCTAAAAATGAGGAAACCACTAGGTGCCTAGGCACGATTGTCAAGCCTGTAAAAATTTCTCCATGCTTGACCTTTGTACACCATCTGACTTTTAACAAGAATCATAAACTGAAGAAATTACATCTCTTTTCTGGTCTTTCATTTTTTTTTCCCTTCTGTTCTTACAAAAGTTATCCCGTCAAAACTTTCCTCAGAAGCTTCTTTATCTGATTGGCTAACACAAATTTGTAACTTCAGCAATTTCAGACAAGGTGTAAAAAATAATATGACTTGAACTATTAGCTACTGTTTGTTGCATGTGATATTTTGTGTTCTGTACAATATGTTTTAGTAATCAAATGTGGTCTTGGATTAATGAGTTAACAGTCTAGCTAGAAATCTTTTGGAAGTCCAGATGCAGTATTCTCTGTTGTTCACTGCTAGATGCCCATCCAACTAGGTTGAGCTGCAATTTTGGAAATTTCATGCAAAAGCCAATTTCAACCTATCACCTGACTGGTTTCATTAATTTACTAAATTCCAGGTTTAAGCAATTTAATCATGCAAGCATTTTAGTCTGATAGCACAATTATTTGTATCCTTTTTTTAACAGGTGATATATCTGGTTCTTTCATTTTGAAGTATAGCAGCATCTCAGGCAATCACCTGGCTAAAACGAGAACTGCCAAATACTCCATTGCACTTCAGTCTCTTTTACTGGAGGTTTTTGAAAGCTGATGTGATTTTAGCTGGTTTTATGATGAGATGTAATTAAATGAAAACCTGTTTTTATTTTAGTAAATCTGCAAATTTAGTTCATTGAAGGTAAACACGATGTTTTATCTTTCCTTATGTATCATGCCCTGCAATGGTCAATATATTTCTGCATCTGGCAGAATTCTTAACACTTATGAAAAAATATATACAACCAGCACTTGAGCCTCTGAGCTTAATTAATGCTGTGGTGGTCTGTCTTCTTATATGGGGGATGATCATTCTTGCTTGAACAACTTGCAATGATCACAAGTGCCTTCTTTCCCTGCAATTATAATCTGTTTCAACTTCAAGGATGCCTTGAATGGATTTCATGGTCCTCGTGACAATGGAGTGCAATGACTGATGTTGATAAAGCCATTCAATTTCTCACACTTTTGGCAAAGTGTCTCCGAGTTCGGACGAAAGTTGTGGAAGCATAGTTGTAGATTTGGGTATGCAACTATTACTGCTATACTTTTCTTTTCGGTTTAAGATCTGTTTGCTTGCATGTGATTGATAATCTGTATAAATAGAGATGCATTGTAAGTGATGACTCTCTATCTAAAGATGTTTTTCAGCCATCTGGCTGTCTGCAATTAGATTTTTGCCAATAGGAGCCCGCAGTTGAAAACTGCCAGGTTCGATACGAGTGAAAAAAAAAAAAAGAATAATAGCGTCCATATCATTTCTTTTGTTAACGGATGGTGTCCTCACTATACATTTTTACAAGATGATTTTTTTTTATAATTATTGATTTTATATTTGTTTTAAAAATTTTTAAGACCGTTAAGTCAATGAATCGGCTTAGACCAATAAGTTTCAACTCTATTCTCCACTTCTCACTTTGTGTTTCCTTTCACCTCCACCTCTTTCTCCTCTCCCTCCCCCTCCCATACTCCCACGTTCATTTTCTTCCATTTCATCTCCTCTTCCTTCTTCCCCTCCTCATCTATCCTCCCTCTCACTATACCTTCGTTTCTTTCTCCTCTCCCTTCACCTCATCTGTATCCTCCTCCCAGTCTGTTGCCTTCATCCCCTCCCCCTGAGCTTCATGTTCCTCCTAGTTCATCACCCACTCCACCTATAGATCTCTTATTAGGTCTTATTGGATTTCATCCATGGGATCCAACAGTTCAGGGGTATATTGGATTTCCAATAAGATAGAGGTTCCAACGGATATCTCATATCCGAACCTCTACTCGTCGCAACACCTACCATATGTGTGACCCTCTATGCCTAATATCGAGCTGGCCGTGAGTTATATCTATCAAAACTCCTTCTGGCTCAGTGAATTATTATCTCCATAATAATTCACTCGACTCATCGACTACGGACGTATTAGGCTAATACGTCACAGTCCTTAGACGATACAGGGGAATCCAATCCTTTGGAGTTATCTATCTTCAATTATCATATACCTATAGTCTCTCATCCATTTAATATCCCAAAGATTATATACCGGGCATGGTATTGTCAGGCCTATATGGTTTCTTCTCGAGTCTCGCTCTAATCATATTCTCCCGGAGAACTCTTTCTCTCTCAATCCAAATAACCTTGGCCAAGGATTTGTTTGAGCAAAAATACATAGGATATTCCTCTCAAGAGCAGATGATCCTCTATCGATACTCAATAACCATCGTAAGATTGGCTACCACTTCCAATAACCGACTGTGCTAGATTTGGAACTTCCAAACATATAAGTCCTGTTGAATCTCGTATTTTGATGATAAAACCACTTGATATATGTTTATGATTTAATCTATGTTTTGAATGACGTAGGATGCTTCGATCAGGATGAGACAATTAAAGCAGGAAAAATCATGTTCTGCCCGAGGAACATGTCAGAAGATTGGACGTCGGGCCGGTGAATCGGTCGACGTATCATCAAAAGGCTTCGGGCCGTGGACTCGGGCATCGGGCCAAGCAGAGCGGGTATTGAGCCAAGGATATCGGAGTTGCGGAGTCAACTGGCCGATTGGGCAATAGGCCGCAGGAGAGGACAATGCGCCGAAGAATCGGACGAAGCGTCGAGGGATCAATGACATGCTGGACAACTTGGTTAATTGCTTAGGATTAATTGTCTCAATCGAAGTTTTGTTTTACATGTGTAGGATTAACTACGATGGAAGTAAGACATGCAGTAGGAGTTGCGCCGGAGTCAAGACCATGATCACGTTGGGAGTTCGAGAGTTCGACGGAAGTCCGGACGGTCGTCGGAGGTTCTGCGGGAACAAATCCGAGAAGTCCAGGAGCTTGCCAAAAGAAGCTCGTCGGAACTCGCCAAGTGGATCATCGCAAGTCCAGGAGTTTGCCGGAGGTCCGAAGGAGCTGCTAGTCATAGGTGCCCAGCAAGCCAATCACGAGAGTGATGGCACGTGTGACTTGATACAGAATCTTTTTGCTTATTATATTTTGGCATATATCACTTTATAACTATTGCATAAATGCATATATATATATATTGTGATGTCCTTGGATTTGTGCAATGGGAATCGGATCGTGATGAGATCACGATAATGAGATCGATTCACCATTAAACACATATCCTAAAT